GTTAGTTTTGGTAAAGTTTAATTGGATTTTGTTTAATATATAAATTAAAATGCCATTTAATCCGTAAATACTGAGGATGGGTCAGAGTGACCCATATGATATCAATTTTCATTCGCATTCTCTTGTAATTTATAGGGGTTGATCTTCTAGCTATTCTAGTGCACCTTTCATTAGGAGCAAATCAGTACTTATTTTATTATAGAGTGAATTTTGGGTCAAAGTGGATTTCAAAGTGAAATAACTTTGGTTTCCCAAGTACCAAAACTGGGAAACTTTATAATTATTTAACTACGGATGCGCCTGAGTTACCGACCTGATAATTGTTTACATTCTACTGTATTTGTCTATATTTGTCTATAGCAAATACTTTCTTGAAATATCTTCAATATGAAATAATGTTGGATTCCCATGTACCAAAAAAACTTAATAAGTTTTCTATAATGAGACTAAAGTAGGTATGGATGCATTTGATGAACAATTTTTCAATATTTCATTCTATATTCAATATCGCTTGTATCAACAGTAGAGTTTATATATGAAACTTCACTATAGGAAAAGAAGAATTCTACGTATTCATTGATAAAACAAGTAGACAATGCGATGCAAGCAACAGATTCCCCGAAATCTTAGAATTCTAATTGCAAATATCATGCAGGTTAAAATGCCTGTTAAAGTTCAACCTAATGAACGTATTCCTACATCAAAAAGGAAGAGGTCTTTGTCCAAGCAAGAGCGTCAAGAAAACATCAATGTTTTGTGATATATGCAAAATATCAATTTGTTCTACTTACTCAAAAAAAGTTGCTTATATTCATTTGTCCGAAGTACTTATGGATTAAACCTGAAAATATACTCTGTTTTCTTTCGAGTATTTTATGTTAAAAGTTTGACAGATAACCAGAAATTCAACATAGTAGTATTTTCTTCTGGAGCTTTATTGATTAGAATAAAAACTCCATAAATTGAAATAAAAATTATATTTTATAATCGTTTTAGACTGAACTTAAATTTTGTTCATAATAAAGATTATGATATAATCTTCAATGGTGCGCATGCTACGTAATTAAACGTCGATTGATAATTATACGGTCATTTTTTTTTGTATTCACCACGGTTCAGTTCGAAATGTTTGCGCACAGTTCTATTAATAATTTAATGGGCAATTAGAAGTACTAAAAATAAGGTTCTAATGAGAAAGGATAGAGACGTGGAATTGGATCATAACAGAGCAGAAAACGCCGATATATCGATTCCCGTTGTAGTATGGAATAAAAAAAGGGCACGAATAAATATGTAAGCAAACATGCGGCTCGAATGGAATAATTTCAATGGAAGGCAGGTTTTCTATTTTATTCAGTACCAAATGCAATTTCTGTTGAAATTAATGCTTGCTTGATTTCACAGTCAATATACTGATATTTACATTTCGCAGATGTAAATGTAAACTCACAAATTATATAACTATTACGTATTGATCGTTTGAAAAATATTTATTTATAATTTATTATACTTAAATTATTATACTTAAACTCGTAATGCATTTTTTTTCTTTAAATTCAATATTTAAATATTTGCGATTTGTAGCTTCCAATATGAATTAACAAATTATGCAATTTTACCTTATATTCATATTTATTAATTTAGAAATGTTTCCATCATTTAATATTATATTTTGATTTCAGATTGTTTCGTCCAGTATATACTTCTAATTTATATAAAATAAATTGTATAACAATAATAATGGAATTAATTAATTCAATTGAATCTTAATTTTTAGGTACGATAGAAAAAAAAATGTAAAATTAAATTATCATGTAATTGCTTTAAGCTTTCCATTAGTCATAGAATTGTTAGGGCCTCAAGCTACTCCTTGTATTTACTAGATGAACTTGTAACCTCTCAGACAATTCCAGCTAAAAGTTTTTAGAGTGGTTTTAATGGTAATATTTTAGCTCAACAAGACATCTTTCAATGTTGATTTTCAAAATATATCTGTATTTTATTTACATTTTTGAAATTTAATTTATTGAAATTACACAATATAAAAATTGTATTTTATTTTTCTAAAAACATATAATATTTTCTTATATATTTTTATTAATAATTTATTTATTATTCAACAATTTAATAAATATTTGTATTAAATAAAAAAGTTTTATAAAGTTCTCTAAATCGTTAGGTATTTTATAATTCTAGTACTTAACGGAATTTTCTCTCTTATTATAAAATTGAAATGTATATATTTACCAAGTTAAAATGTAAATAATGTTGGAAATGAAGAATTAAAATTATAAATTATTACATATTTTTAATTATCCTTTTAATAAAGTGAAAAAAAATTTATATATAACTCCAGTTATAATATTCATTCAATACAAATTTCGTATTTGTTTTTTGATAGAATATTTTACAACAGATTTTTTTTTGTAATTTTAATCATTCACAATTTTGGCAACGAGTTGAAAACAGAAAACAAAATAAATAGGCATGGAGCGGAACGATTTTCCAGTTTTTTTTTTATAAAACATGAAGTTCAATTTTTAAGTCAAAAAACATATTATATTGACTTATAATATTATATTGTAAGTATATATTAATCTAAAATATCACAGCTTGAGTTATCCAGAACATCACCGCAAATAATTTATAATAATTACTTGAAAATAAATGTCTACGTAAGCAATCCACAATTGAACAATACAGCCCGAAATACTAAGAATCGACATAGAAAATGCAGTTTTATACAAAGTAGAAAATGGAGGTTACCAACGTGATATAATTTTTGCCAATTGATTTATGTCATTTTTGTGTTTAAATCAATAATTTAGAAGTTATAAGGTGAACAAACAAGTTCGCGACTTCTGTATCACCCTCTAGATGAAAATACCTATAGCACAGATTTGATATTTTAGAGTTAAAATTATCTATAGAAAGATAAAATAAATATAAGCAAAAATATCTCAATTTCTGCTATAGATAAAATTAGACATATTCTCAAAGTTTAGCATTTCAGTATGTATTTCATTGGTATGAAAAAACAATCCCTTTTATTTCACTGATATTTTATTAGGTACTTCATCATGTTTTAAGATACTCATAGTCATATTCATATTCAGTGTTATTTATTTCAGATTAATAATTAATAAATTAAATCAATACATTTATAAAACATTTAATCATATCGCATAAAGCGCATCGTTATTATTAATAGTATATAATGGACATATAAATGATTCATGATAAATTTATCTGTGTAGAAATATGAATATAACCAAAACCAATTTAATCCGTCGATGATCAGAAAAAATATATAAATATTTTTGTACAAAAAAACGCCCTTATGTAATTTATTTTTTAATTAGTTTTGTATAATAATTTAATTCTATATACTTTTTACTATTAATTTGATATAGTAACAAAGATTTTGAATATTAGTTTATTAAATGTAATGTAATTGAGAAATGTTAGAATAAATTGCAAATATTAAGAAGCGTGTGATTTTTTTTAAATATTTTATGTAATTATCTTTGTAGTGGTTACGTGATAATCTTTAAAAGGTATAAAAACTATTTAAAATAATTTAAAAACTAATAGAGCATTATGTGACCTCGGAGAAAATAAAAACGTTATTGGTGTTTCTTTTCTCTTTACTTCACTGCAATAAACCTAAGGGTTGTGAATTTGCAGTGTTTTAAAGTTGGTCGCCGGAGTTTGGAAATCATGCGGCATAATTACTGAAACGAATTCCCTGTTCGAGGGAAAACTCCCTTCGCCATTCTCGAGAAACAAAGAGAAATGGAATGAAGGAAAAAAAAATATGTAAGCGGCACTCCTATCCTCGTTCTCAAACTTCAGTGAGATTCCTTCGGAAACTTCGCAATTATTTTGGAGAAATTATGAATACATACAATTTCTCATCCCTCTGAATATGATATATATTAAGCAGAAACCTATAAAGAAAAAAAACAATAATTCCCTTAGGAATTGCATGAAATGAAAGCAGAACTGGAAAGTTTTTTTTTAATTTTATTTTTTATTATGAAATCCTGATTTTTCATTGTAATTCTAAAGAAATTACATCAAGATTGCATTTGTACAACACCATAAAATAGAAAAATCCTCGATCGTTAGCCCTTTGGCCAGTCTATAAATATATATTTATGTTAGAATTTATTTATGTATAGAATGTACTTTTTTTTCTTATGTATTGATGTTTGGCTAATAAATTATTATTATTATTAGAAAAATCCAACTGAAAAGACATTAGAAATTGACAGTTTTAATATTTCGTTTCCAAATATTTTATGTTTCGAAATTATTTCACCTTTTCACGGATTAAACTAAACCTATGAAATATATTGATCATTGGAATGAGTAATCTTTAAGGGTATAACTTTAAAAAAATATCTCACTTTTTCATTAACCTTATTGAAATCAAATGAATAAATTTAACAAATTTGTAGTTGCTAATAGTTCATCGCTTTGACACATGGTGACAGCTGTCATTTTTTGACGTATTAAAAACAACCAATTTTGGGTCGAGTCGCGTTTGAGATGGATATATTACTTGATGTAAAAAGTTTTATTCCAAAAAAGTAAATAATTTTACAAATAAATATATTTATTCAAAAACTATGAAATTGCAAAGTGTATTAAGAGTTTTAATTCAATATGCTTTTGTAGATTACAAGATTAACAGGTGTCACCAGCTACTCATCCCCGCGTTTTGCATTAATCCTATTTTTCAGTATTTTCAGTACTGGAAATAACAATGAAGATATTGATTTCCTTTCTATCGAGGGTAGTGATGGAACAAAAAAGACGCAATAGACACGGCTGGAATGGATTGTAAAGGGAGGGAATATAGAGACTGGTGGGAGTTGTGTACTCCACAGAGGAAGCACGTACTTCTCTTATAATTGGATTAGTCGTTTATATACAGCCGCATTTGATTTCAACTAATTTTCAATAATGAATGTTTTTAATGTTATTAAACTTACCCTAAAACTTCATTGAATTTACAAGGATTCCTCCCATTTCCAAAAGAGCATTTCCTAAAAAGAACATAATAATTCAATATTTAAATTAACAAATAAGATAAAAATATCAGAAAAAATATTTTATATTAATATCCGTATCGTTTTTGATGTATAAATCAAATAAAAATGGTTAAAAATTGTCGCAAAATTATTTTAAAAAAAGTCTAGAAGTAAAAATTAATAATATATTTTTTTTAATATATTGTATATATCTTTTTATAATAATAATAATTAATAATAATAATTTATTGGCCAAACATCAATAGATAAGAAAAAAAGTACATTCTATACATAAATAAATTCAAACATAAATATATATTAATTGACTGGCCTCTAGTTATGTTATGTTGTGTTATCAAACAATGTCGATCACCCATCATTGCTTAACTTTAGATAACTTTCAAATAATATATTTGTTTAAATAACTCATATTTAACATTATTGGATGAAAATAACAATAACAACCGTAAAATTATGCATACAAAAAATCAAATAAAAATAACCACAGGAATCATAGCATAAGATATTTCCTTTAATTGTATATAATAAAGGAATTGTATAATATAAGATGTATAATTTTAATAAAAGTAATATTTTTGCTATACGTATAAATAATTAGGGACAAAAACTGAAGGAGAATGAAAACAAACTGAAATAATGATATTTTTCAGTTATTTTCAACATGTTTGGAAAAATTATTGAATGGCACGTAAAGCAAACAATGCACATATTTTACATTTAAAATTTCATTTCTCGTTTGCAATTGAAATTTCAGTTTGATTTGAAATTTTATAATTTTATTTGAATTACTGAAAGCAATTATAAGTTTTCATAAAAATAAGAATAATATTTTTAAGTAAAATAAATGTTTCATAAATAATCAACAGTAAATTTGAAAATGAATATACTGAGATAGAACCACATAAAAACTTTTAAAGATATATTTGATTTGCCCCTATAAGAAATTTAAAACTTCAGTAAATAAACCAAAGTTTATAGCCGTTATTTATATTAAATTGGGGCGAAGGTTAAATCTTACATAATTTAATTATCAAAGGGAAGCGATGGGAACTTTACGAGTGTTTTAAAGGTCTTCACTATACGAGTTAATATGAGAAGTAAGAAAAACGTAAATGAAATTCAGCTTAGATCAAAAAACAAGAAGCTGTAAAATGTTTATTCTATGTCGACGATCAAGCACATCATTCGTTTAATTTAAATTGTTTGCTAAACGTTTATTAAACACATGTCGCATTTCGCAAATTGATCGGAATGTTGACAGTCTGCAACTGATATAGAAATAGTTTTGGAAAGTTGCAAAGCAAATAAGAGGAATTCTCTCCCGGGAGAAAATTTCTATGGCTATTTTAAACTTCGACAGAAAAACTTTTCTGTTCGCGGTCCACAAAAGGCATTCAAACAAACGTAAACTTCAAATACTCAATTCAAATAATAAATATAAAAGACAACATAAAGTTTCCAGTAAGTTTAACTTGAAAATATAATTAATGAATCATTAAATTTTGGAAAAAATAATATTGAAAAATCAATTACATTTCAAAGTAATTGATCAGGAATTGATATTGAATTTTGACCGGAACCTCGAAGAGACCAATATAATTTTCGAGAGAGTTGTCTAATTTGGACCGGAGCTTAGATTCTACCATGTCAGTGGTCTAAGTTTCAATCTTGACAAAATGTAATCCGCATAGATAAATATAGTGAGTGAAAGAAACAACGAGTATTTTTATTGAAATAATAATAAATTAATATACTGGTCCATTCTGGGAAACTAATAATTTTGAAAAAAACAATGGCAAATTTGAATTGAAATAGTACACTTTGATCTGAAGACAAGTATTAATTAATCCAGGTTGGACCACTAATATATTGGAGATATATGACGATTTGAACCAAAGCCTAGGTTGGACTACTGTTGTTTTGGGAGGAAAGTTGTTGATTTTAGACCGGAGCCTAGATTGGACCACTGTCATAACTTTGAATTGAAATATCAATCTTTTGTTTATACTGTGTACTGAAATGAGTGTAAACACCAAAAATACTTTTTCTAAAATTATACTTAAGAAAACTGAAATGAATCAAAATTTGTATTCTCATTAATTTTTTCTATAAACAATATTTTTTATTAAATAACATTTTTATGTGGTCCGAATTAGGCAAACCTCAATATATTTTTTTTATTATTTATATACAATTTTACACTTTTTTAGTTATTTTTGAAATTCAGTAATAATAACAGTAAATAGGTTAAGGATTTGTGTTAAATTATGTTAATTATAGAAGTGTTGTTACACAAATCGATGCTTTAATTGCAATCAGTTTGATTCAATTAAACTCGATGACACATCACGAACATCGAACATCGGAATTCGATTTAAATTTAACGAGTCTCATTAACGTCAGCTTTATAAATATTTCATCCTCAATATTTCAATAACAATAATGGGTTTAAAACTTCCAGTTTAATCCAGATATTAAACAAATACATTACATATCTGGTTTAAAATGACCAACTCTAAGCCAAAACCTTTCTATATACGTTTAAAAATAATACAAAGTTGAAACGCACTGAAACAATTTAACGTTGTGGCCTATTTAAGATCTGAAATTTGCGTCTTAAACCTGCAAACGAACACTCCTGAAATAGTTTTTAAAAAATGTATATATTTATAAGACGATTTTATTAATGCCATTAAAGTATTTCGGGATGTCACCACACTTTCCAAACTCTTAAATTAACGCGAATACTTAAACGAACTTCGTAAATTGGATTTCGCAATAATATCTCCCGAATCTAATTAGCAAACTGCGCGTAAATTGTTAGAAATCTAATTTGGAGAATATGAAATTATTAAATTATTTTCTGTAACTTAATGAATTACACTAAATGCATTACCTAAGTAAAATTTACGGACACATTTTTATGCAATTTATATATAAATTATATATATTAATTAATTTGCAATTTATTAAGGATGAATATAAATTATATTTATATATATTAGTAAAACTTAATTTTGTATTCAATAAAAATGAAGTGTTTTGTTAATGAAAGCGAAATGACTTTGATCAAGGAAAGTTTGTAAATTAAATATGAATGAAAAATCATGAAATCAGTATTTGTATTCTATTATTTTGATAATTTACAAAAGTAAAACTAGTTGAATTTAATTAATTCTATGGATTTTACAGAAATAGTCAAAATTAAGGTCCTTAAAGTGTAATTCTCTAGATTAAACAATCGAGTTTATTGTTTTGAGTGAATGTAAAAGTTTTATTCCGGTTCAAAAATAATACCCAAATCTCATTCATGTTAGAATATATGGAAGTGAGTGGTAATAAAATACTACGGATATAGTTTAGATTTAGGTATTCAAATTTATGAAAGGATTTGGACTATTAAAATAATAAGCTAAAAGTAATATATAGTGTATCTTTGGATTTTGAAAAACTCAATTGGCGAACATACAAAACAGTCTCGTTTTCTAAGCAGAATTTCAAATACCTCTCAGAATGTCGATCAAAATTGCAATTAGGAACTTGAGATGTAAATAACTTTCCTTCTCATATATACTTGCGTCATTAACTCCCTTCCTATATTAATTATTATAAAGGTTTCGGTTTTCGAACAACATTTGGAAATGAATTTCCACTGAACGCCAAATGATTTTTTCTATAATGTGCACGCCAGAAATAACCATTAGTTAAATAAATTGTTAATTTTATTAATGAAAGCAGAGATAGAGTTTATATAATAAAATTCATTTAAAACTGGAAGTACAAATATTGAGTGGCAGCGAAATTGGTTGAGACAAGACTTCAAATTTGTAAATGTTAATGAAATTATGATAATTTGACCCATTTTATAAAACTCCTACAGTATATTTATGTAGCTAAAATACATTGACCCAAATTTCAATACGTTCATAACTTTACAATAAGATAAAACAGAAAGGGTGAATATCAATTGTGTGGATTGATTGGTCGAAGGAAGTGAATTTTTCTTAAAAAAAAGACGTTTTTAAGTGGAAGCAGCAAAGATACTTCAAGGCAAGGCTTCTCAAAGATCCACTTTCGTAAAAGCTCTAGAGTATATATTATTTAACTAAGATTAAATTAACAATATTTTATGAAATATAAACTATATATTTTATATAATAAATTTCTTTAAATCCGTATTGCTAGATACCAAAGATATAATGTTCAGCAATACTTCGCACAATGCGGCTTTGATCAGTGCGGATTCACTATTACACGGTTTGGAAATTTCATAAAACAAACTAAATTTTAAGTAAGCAAAATAAAAATAATTCTAGAATATACAAAATTATGATTTTTAAACATAAATTACATTTTTATTTGTCTTTTATACAGTTTGTGCTAATAATGTTTATTTGTTTTTAAAGTCCTCGATTTATCTAGTTTCAAACGGTACGCAATATTGCTGTATATGTATATATTTAATGGTATAGATTACATACATATTTTATATGTAAATTTACACATAGGAATAGATTTATATTTAAATTATATTTTATTGTATACAAGACATATTTTTTTGTAAACATTGTTTCTTAATTTTTAGTGCGTCTTATATTGTATAATCTAATATAATATACAACTAATTTGTTTGACCTTTAAACTGGCAATTATATTTGACAAGATTATACATTATTAATTAAGCCCTTGACATATGTGCTTACATCGAATTTATAGAATATTCAATTCTAGATTTCAAAAGTAGATATTGAAATGTTAGTTGTATCGAAAATGTACAAACTTATTCATGCAGATATAGTTTCGTGCTTCAAAGAAATAATAATTTCCTGTCTTCTATATCCGTATCAAACGGAAACTTTTATCGAACGCACATACAAAAATTTAAACTTCATTTGCTCAACAAAAGAGCAGATATACCGTATTTCTATTGTTAACTATTGATTGAAATATAACGAATATCACCTAAATTAATATTTTATTATTTTAATTCATCCGAAAATAAAAATTGTATTTTTATGTTTCATAAATTAAAAAAAAAAAACATAATACATATATAAAACTATTATTTATTGCAATAAAAATCACATATTTTTTTTAATAATTTGCATACTGTACATAAATTAAAAATAAAAAGCTCGGTTTTCGAACATAATTTGAAGTACTGAAATATTGTTCGAAAACAGAAAAAAAATGTATTTATACATTTGCAACCGCATTTACATTTAAGTTTATCAAAAATATTTTTTTAAATAATAAAAATAGTTTCTATTGCAACAATAATAATACAATAAAAACATAATATGATAATAAAAATAAAATGTCAACTGCTGCAAAGGGCTTTTCTATCCTATTTTTAAATATATTAAAATACATTGTTATTTTTATTATGTCCAAAATTATAGAAACAAAGTAATTGTTCATTAACCTATTTCATCTTTATATCCCAAAAGTTACGAACGTTATGTTAATATATCAGAATTTTCACTATTTGCCTCTGTAGTACAATTTAGAAACCTTTGCATTAACCAAGCACTCACTGTATATATACTTATTTTATTTGAATTTAAAATTATACTGTTCCTCTACCTTTCTTTATAATTATATTTATTTAGATTAAAAGATAACATGTTATTCAAATTAAATTAATTCTCAAGCCGTAAGTACTTCGAAAGGGTCAGAATGACACATAATACTTGTTTTCATTCGCATTCTATTATAATTTAATTAACCATCTAGCTACTCTAGAATTTTCTAATGCACTTCTCAGTAAGAGCAAAAGAGTAGCAGGTAATTATTTTATTGTAGAGTGCTAAATATAGCAAATGCGTTCTTGAAATATCATCAATATTTGGATTTCAATGTGCAACCTAAAGATTCTGATTGCAAATATCATGCAGGTTAATATGTCTGTTGAAACACAACCTAATGAACAGATTTCTGCATCCAAAAGAAAGAGCTGTTTTTTTTGTCCAAGCAAGAGCGACAAGAAAACAGCAACATTTTGTGATATTTGCAAAAGACAAATTTGTTCTACTTGCAATTTGTTTACTGGCTGCTCGGCAGAAATTCACACATCTTAGATGAAAATAAGATCTTAATATTTAAAGTTGTAATAAAACCCATATGGACATACGGAATTCAATTATGAGGATCTGCATGTAACTCTACGATTGATGTGATCCAAATATTCCAATCAAAGTCGCTGAAAATGGTCACCGGTTCACCGTGGTATATCACCAATACAAAACTAGTTAAGGAAACTCAGCATTAATTACCGATACCGGTTGGATACCCTTTTGCTGTGGGCCTAACTAACACAGAGAACCAACGTCAAAGATTAAAGTGTTTCAAGCCCCAATAAACAGTTCGTGAGTGAGTGTCTTGATTGTGCCTTGATTACGTTAAGGTTGGTTACTGAACCAATCCCTTGACTTCTTTTATATTTTTTATTTGTTTTAATTGTCACAAGTTCTGTTTATTATTTTATGTAAAATAGATTGCTCAAATAAAAAAAAACTTGCACAAAAATGCCCAGACTATTTTGAAAAATATAATCTATTTTAAATGATGTTAAATTCATCATAACAAGAAGAATTAATCTGTGTTTGTTGTATAAATTAATAATTTGCTGTATTTTTTAATATTCATTAAACGAGTCTTTTTGACCCAAAGTTAATACTTGTGTTTAATTTATTTGTTTTTATTTGTAATATTACTTTTCCTTACCTTGAAATGTAATAGTCAATTAATGTGTTCAAAATAATAGAAATAAAATAACTATTAAAAAAAATTGAAGACTAATATGAATAAAACACATAAAAAAATGCCATGTAATAACCATAAGCACATTCTCTATATATTATTTACGCAGTTAAAAATGTCTGAAGGCACAAATTTTGGCGTACGAAATGGAATTAAACTTCATAAATAAGAGTGACTGCATAGACACTTTCTTTTTATTGTTATCTGCGATGTTCTCCCCCATTGAATTTTAGCTTTTACATCTTTTAAGTGGATTTTGTGTGTTGTAATAACGCAATATTTTAGTGGCAAAAGTTAAAGGACCTGAGAAAATTAGGAAACTCAATATCTGGTGGGTTCTTTGTGAGCTCGAACAAAACACATCAGAATTCGGCCTAAAATTCATTTTAAACGTGAGTTAATTCTCTGATTAAAAATAAAGCTTATTATGTGCTGGATTTATCATTGTTTAAGCATATAGTAGATTATAATTTCACATTAATTTTGTTAATAATCTTATTTTTATTTTATAGTAATAGTAAAATTCTAAAAACGGAATCAATACTCTCTCATATAAAGAAGAAACTTTTAGGAAATATTAAACAATTATGTTAAAGTAGCTTTTCGGATTATTACCAGGATGCAACAAAGAAATGCAGTATATTGTTAGATATTTAGTTCTAACTAAACTTAAAAAAATACACACCATCTACTCTCGTACTGTTTCTGAGAAACAGGAAAGTGAATAGAATGTATGTAACTTATATATAATTTAGGTAATTTGGTAAACATTTATTAATCATATTTGTAATTTAATCTTAATTTGATTTTGTTAAATATAAAAATACTGGAATTGAATAATTTATAAATATAATGAAGATAGATTATTTTTTAAGAAAAAATGTACGATAATAATAAAACTCTCAGACATTTTATGAGACAAATTTATTTGTAATTTCATTACAAACTTAAAGTCCTTAAATTAATAGGAAACTGTAATAAAGGTTTAAATTACATGAACATAGTTAATTTAAAAAAAAAAAATTCTTTGCATTTTTTTTTAAACACTTTAAAGTTAAGTTGCTTATATTTTTTTATTAAATTTCAGCAATATTTTCAAACAATAAATTATGTAGTACTTTTTGGTAAAGTCAAGCAATTTTAAGCTTAAATAAGTGAATTATAGTGACTTAGATTACAAATACGGATCAATTTTCATATATTATTTCAAATATTATTTTATATTGCTATGCAATTTTTATTACTTGAATGTAGGTTTGTACTCACTTGGTACTTCCAATTGCAAAACAAATGTTTTTTTTATATAATATAAAGATTACATTAGAGTGTCAATAAGGAATTTGTTCTGTTTCACGTCTCTTTATAATTTAAATAGACGACAAACGGTTAAAAATTATATATTTCCTCGATGATTGTACTGTGTTTAATATTAAAAATTATTTTTTGATAGCATTATATGGAAATGTATTGAAGATTCTCAAATAATTAATTAATTAGAAATTGTTAAAAAATGAATGGAATATAAAGGAATTTAAAGAAACTGAAATACGTGATTTATAAACCGGACTCGTTATTCGGAAAACGTACAATTCACGGATTTTTCGATTTTCTGAATTAAATTATATAAATTGTACTGTTTGAACCGGACTATAAAAGGTATAGCTGTATATATTCATAATAAAATATATAGAAAATTTGTTTTTCTCAATAATAAATAATGAAACAACAGACAATTGTTTTAATATATAATTAATTTCGACTATTTTATTACATTAATAAACTCAGATTATTATTATCGAAAATAACTTAAATGTTTTGTTGGAAAATGTGCAAGTAAATATTCGTGGATTTATGTTCTTTTAACACCGACCGAAATGGCACACTTATTTCACCGAATAAATAGACCAGAGCTAAATAATTACTAAAACTTGGAAAGAAAAATAATAGAACAAATTATCTATTTTTTTTTAGTAGGCCGTTTTACGTTTGGAAACCATCCAATTCGAAGCAATTAAGTTGCCAATTTACATACAATTTTTTTTTAATCTGCCGATAATGCTACGAAAATTGCAAATATATTGTAATATGCAATTTTCGTGGACTAAATAATATTTTACTTATAAAAAAAACTTTTTTTAGAAATGTATACTTTTTTTCGAGTATTTCATTTAACGACCATCTTTTTTCAAATAAAAATTCAAAAAATGCAAATAAAACAATATTGACCTTTACTCATTTTGTGTACGTACGTTTTATTATTTTTTTTATGAAATAATATTTACTGTAGTCGCATATATTTGAGCATTTCATTAAATAATAATAAATGTATAAATAATATTCACATCCCGTCGACAAAAAAAACCTTTCATTTAATACTTTATTGATACAAATAATGCGTAATTACATGCGTAAATTAACTGCATGTAATCTATTATGAATGATAACATATATATTTATATATATTTACTATGTAAAATAATTGTACTATGCGTATAGAACCAGAATTCAAATTTCATCAATTGAAATTTAGTACTACAATAAACATACATTAATGTACGCACTTTGAACTGAATTAATGTATTTTAATTCATTTTTAAATTATATCACCAAAAATAGTCTTTTCGTCAGATTTTTTTTTTTTTAAATATTTATCATCTTAATTTTAATCATTTTTAATTAATATAATTAAATTATTAATTTAAACTACATTAATAAATACAATCAACTTACATGCAAATTTAATGTGATTGTTATGTAATTCAGAACATGCTAAAACTAAAATTTATTGTATTCGAAGCGAAGTTTTGCGGTAAACTTTTTTTGGCGCGATACGTGTACTGCCGGAGCGTCGCGACGCTGGTGTTTTGCGCGGCGTCGGGGTGACTACTGAGCGCTCGCAGGCGTCGCGGCGCGCGTCCTCAGAACCCATCGTTTTCCGCCCATTCACTACCCCAATAAATTTCTTCCAACGGAAACCTCAAGCCACGAATGAAGGTACAAAGAGAGATAAAGAAAGGAAAATGCGGAAATCGGGGCGGTGTTTTTCATTCTGGCAAATCTTCAAGAGCAACAGAAATAAGTAAAAAAAATCGCATAGCATAGATTCAACATCTGCAAACTATTTATTTTCCGTTGATGAGATGCATATTTTTTAACTAAATGCACGGCGACATTTGCTGCACAAATGCTGACCGTTGCATAAAGCGTAAAATATTTAATCTGTTTATATATAGATTTTACTGGAATATGTTTCAACTGAAAGTGCACTTTTTTCTGTGTTTTATAATACTGATTCTATGAAATTTAGTAGTAAACTGTAAAATAGATATATATTTGTTTTTGTTTGTGTTTGCTGGAACGCAGTGTAGTGTCAAATGCAAACATGTGTCAATCTGATAATCAGATACACTTCGACCTAAAAAGACTATGTAGGTATACCTCTGTTATATTTATAGTAAGTAATCGTTACCTCTGTTTGCATAGCGTCCGACTATCTTCTGGTAGAAGACACCGGACAGGTAGAGTCCACATGGATTTGCTTCCGGAAGAACGTGTCGCTCAGCCCGGAAGTGCTGAATAATTATATAACGGATATTTTAAAGTGCTGCCTGACTCATAGCGTGGATTCCTACAAAATTCATTTGAACCGAACGAAAGGTACATTTAACTGGGAATGATACGTAATACGATGTGCAACCAGTTGTGTTGCAGGTGCGAAACTAATCAAGAAAGTCGCGAATAGAAGCAATTACACTGATTTAGCAATTCCACAAATTATAGGATTAATATGGTCAGCCTTGAGTGTAGTTCATCATTTTCACATACGGATAATCCCTGGAAATTCGTACACATCTTGGGCAAGAAGGTATCAACTTTAGTAAATATATTATTCCTAATTTATTAACGCTGAAACATATTTTTCTTGAAATATGATAAATCTTATTAATATTTTGGGTATTTATTAGAAAACATTACAAGAATGCTATCTCAATCTACGAAAAATTGCTACTAATGCTATTACCAAATCTATTCACTACAGTCATTCAAGCTCTGATCACGTTCTTCAACGAATCCAAAATTTGGGAATTGGAATCATTAATTGCGATTTTACTAAAAAAAGTTCTGGAGATCTCCAAAGACAATGAGAATGTAATCAAGAATTTAATAGGTGAATGTGCTTGTGTGCAATATGCAGATTGTTTAATTCATTTGATTTGATAAGATATTGTTGTAGAAAGCGATAACATCTTGGACGCTCGATGCGTGTTGAGAGTAATATACAGTTTACTTTGTTACATCGATTGGATGGAAATGGATGATTCAATGGTGCCAAGAATGTTGGACCTCTACAAGTTATGCACGGTGAACGAGTATTACTTCGATCTCCGTAGCGGTTACGAGGTGTGCCTGAGGACGCTGTTCAACAAGATGATGCGAAGGGATATTCTGAAGGCTGTAAATGGTCGATTGATGTAATATACCACAGGTGATTAATACCGTTGCAGATTCACATAATGCTTGAGTGGACGTTTACAATGGATACCAACGATACTGATGTTATTGAGTATGCTAGTCTCTTGGAATACGCTGCCAATTTACGAGACGACGCCGAGGAATATAATCACAGGATTACGGACGAAATTTTCCCACTCCTCCTCGAATTGATTTCCTCCGTTAATGTTTACTTAAATCTACTAGGATGTAGGGTCTTATTTTTTCTGCTCAATAGGAATAATAACATTATACAACTTATGCATCCAAGGTATGTATATACATTATACAGGTAATCCTCATTTTACGACCTAGTTCTGAACGAAACGATTGATAAGCGAGAAGCATGGACAGGTATATAGGCTCATTGTAAAATTATAAAAATATGCAACAAAATTCAAATGTATTCATAATACAGATTGAAAATTTATTGGTCGTAAAGTGAGGTGTACCTGTATACAGTATATAAATTAGTATTAGTAAGTACAGTAATGTACGTTCTTTTTGTTCGCACAAACGTACTGTTCATATGAATAGAAATTTTAATTTAATAATTCGTTCTTTAGGAAATTTCTACGTTAATATGGTCAGTTATGTAAATAATGTACATTAAATGAAAGTTTACTACATTACAGATTATGAAAAGAATTAGATATTTATTTATTCTTCTTAGTTAAAGTATATTGCATAAAGTATATTTTTGTTTTAAATTTTAGTTGTTACATTCAATTTGTTGAATTTAAGCCAAAACTGTTTTAGTTCAAATAGATGATGAAAACTAAATAAAACTACAATAATTTTATTAAATAATCTAAATAGATTTGGAACGTAAATATAAAAGCAAAATAAAGAAATGTTACCTCAGTTTAAATCGTGAAAGAAATTAAAAACAAGTACTTCTATTTTAGAATGAACAGATGTATAATTGTTTCAACAACATCTTACATGTGTTTATGCGTTCAATACTATAATTCGTGAATTTGATAAGCGTCGATTTCTTTATGAAATTTCTAAAATTATAATTTAATTTAAGCTTCATGAGTATTTCATTTTAAAAGAAAGCAGAAATACAGGCACGTTCAAGAAATGATTTTTATAAGAGCTTAAATATCAATAAACAATGTTCAATATTTGGACTTTCTACCTTTACCAAATTGGTTAACGTACATCACCGAGTATCAGTGACAGGTTTTCGCACAGGCGCAGGTGGCGACTCTTAAATCAAGTGGGCCTCACATCTTAAAATGGTAGTATTTGGGGATAACCCAAATACTGACCTTCGAGAACGGACACTCCACCTCTTTTCACCATTATTTAACTATTTAATAAAAAAAATATTTAAAATAGAAATATTTTGAAGGCTTCAATATTAACATGCGCCTGTGGCCTCAAGTGTTTAATCCGTTACTGCTGTTTATGTAATAACTTTGGTACTAAAGAGCTATTGTACAAATCCCAAATGATCAGAGGATAACTAAATATCACAATTAGTTTAAAAGTTATATGGACTGCGGAAAAGAATATAGTAACATTTCATATAATAATTAAAATTATTTCCGCTTTAGGCCATTTTTTAAAGATGTTATAGTGGATATAAACATAGGACAATACAGAGTGAGCGATAAAAGATTCCTGCAGCGGTACCACTCGCCCCTTCACAATAGTCTGATGAAAGCAGTAATAAACCACGGAAGCAGCAAGATCAATTTGGAATGCACCTTTGCGTGTATAGCCTTAATTATCGTCGAGGTGCCTTGCGGTTACACGGCCTCTGCGACTGTGTGCCTAGCTATGGCCCTACAGGAATACGCCCTAATGCTAGACTGTTGCCAGAAGTCATATAACATCCACGCTTGCGTCATGTTCATTATGACTTTAGTTTGTTACGTCCACAAAGCTCATGTACATGAACAAACACATTAATTGCCAATTGCCGATCATTCATCTATTTCCAGGTGTTTTACGATTACGTGAATACAATTTTATCGAGACGCGCCCAGGTCGCACCGTTTTTAAATCCGCCGTTAAGCGTCATCAATCGCAACGATTCAAACTATTTCAGTTATAAACAGGAATTGTTCTTCGAAGATTGGGAAGCGCGATACGGGCTTTGGAAGTGCTTCATAGCAAAAGAACAGGATTCCGAATAATTATACACGTTTTTTTTTAAATAAAATATATTTATTCAATAACCATGGCTTCGCCTTTAACAACTCTTTCATTGTCCAATTTCATGTTAGGATACAGTTTCACTTTGAGACTATCCGGGTCCCTTCCATAAAAGTCTGATCGCGGTTTAACCTTTGATTCTTGATTTGCAAATATGTCGAATAGTGATTTCTGGGAGTAAATGCTTCCTGATCCACGCGTGGATCGAGAAATTGGAGAGACTATACTTGCAAGAGGAGGGGGCGACATAGGGGAATCCGTTGTTGCTCTTATCACTGAGGCTCTTTGATGGTCAGGTTCTATAAAATAATGTTTATATAATCGCAATTCAAGTAATACAAAATTATCTCCTTACCTAATTGATCTAATTCCCTTAAAGCTTGATCTAGTTCAACTTTGTCACTCAGTTTATCTTCTGCACGGTATTTGTGGCAATCCTTCAAACAAATGTACACGGACGTGTGGTTCTCAGTGTGCTGATTACTCTTTAACAATGTTTCTAATTCTTTCCACATTATTTTGTACTGATCTTCCCGCTTTTGCCCTTTGATCCTTTGGCCCGCATTAGGTATAGGCAGAATCTCGTGTTTAGACTCCAAACTAAACAATTTGTAAACCACTTGTTTGCATTGTCGCACCTCCTCATCGTTCAGTTTATCTTTCGTGATTGCCGTCCACAAAGGATCAATGAACTAAACACAAATAAAATATTAATTATTTTGAATGTTAGGATTATTTAGGATTTAATACCCCTTTCAGATTGAAGATTAACGTTGAACTAATGGTTAAAGGCCAGTATTTAGTATGTCTGGTAAGACGCTCAACCATCTTACTAGTGGGCGGTTCATTTTGATATTGATTTTTTAATGGAAACAGCCTATTTTGTTTCATCAGGTCACCAAAATCTGTTATTCTGTAATCCGTTACTCGACCTCCACATCCTTCTGAAATCGACGGTGGATCCTCCAAAACAGATCTAAAAACAAATATATTAGTTTATCAATTTAATCCATCTTTTCGTTTGTACAAACGTACATGACGTTCATACGAACAAATATGTATTATATACATAATAATATTAAATATGTACGTTAAGTGAGCTCTAGTAGCTTTCAAGTCTTACCTAGCAGTGCAAAGTGTATGTATGAATATTTCACCACCATGTGCAGCCAATAGATGACTGGTAATTTTCCCGCCACTTTTCCTCGCCATCTCCAACATTACAGACCGACCATTTAACAGGAAATTGATTAAACAAAGAGATGGCCTTGAGTTTACATCAACTGGGGTTATCCTATGCATAGAAGTGCAATTCTGCATTTCTGATGCGCTGCAACTCCTTGGAGTGCACCATTTTAAAGTCACCTACAAAACATATTTAGAATTCGTTTTTTTTTCATATTTTTGATCATATTCAATTTACAGTTTCGTATTCCAATCCTTCTTTGATTGTCCTGATTCCAGCGACATCTGCGGCATTTCCTTTGAGCATCGCCGTATGTGCAACACTCGCATGGTATATTTCAACATCATAGTTTGCAGATGAACTCGCATTCTGCTCTTCTTTCATTGGAATACCAGTTACTGTAGTACTAGCTAAATTGTAATGTTGCAGAATTAAGGTACTCAATTTTAATGATATAAGTGTACATTTAACTGAATGCACTTCAGTTGTTAAAATTGGAGACCACTAAAACATATTTATATTAGGATTGGAAAAAAATATAAAAGCACTTTAATACTTACAACTTTTGGTGGATGATTATTTACATGTGATTCAATTGAAATTGGAAAAGTGTTTATAATAACTAAATGGCAGTGATCAATATGTATGCATCTAAAAAATATTATCTTAATAAATTGCATTAACGATTTTCTGTAATAATTACGTGTCATTAATTGCTGTTTTGTTGTGTTGTTGCAGTACATTGTGGAATATTTCTTCCAGTCTTTTCATACTGTCATCATCTCTAGCTGAGGTAATACAAACTACTCTGCAACGATTTATAAATTTAGTTGATCCATTGGCTGATGAATTGGCCATTTTCTCCACTTGCAACTCTGTTATTTCACTTAAGGCATCAATAGCTGTTCTTAAACCATGAATTATGGTAAATTCAGGAGTATTAACAGTTCTTGGTGGTGGAGGTACACCAATTAATGACATGCCATTCATAATCTACAAAATTAAAAATGTTCACTGATTGATTCCATAATGTATTAATTATTTACTTACATGATTTAAATTTTGTTGAGTTGTTACCCATGTGTTTAAGATGTGAGCAACTGCATCACTTGCAATAAATCGAATCTACAAAAATATTAGCAATAAATAAAATTCTTTATAGAAATGTCACTTATTAAATGCAATATTTAAGGCAAATTTGTATTTACCAATTTTCCTGTAGGAAATAGATCCCAAACTATGCGACAGTACTCTATAGAAGCTTCAACACTGCATGTCCAAAGAGATTTTGAGATTGGAGGCACTTGCAGAAAGCCAGGAGCCCTAGATTTTATGAAATCAAACTCAATGTGCTGTTCACTTGATATCCCAAAGTATGGGGTATGATCCAAAACAAACACAGTTTTGTGATTTGCAGGATATAAATTTGCATTTGGAAACATTTTGGTTTTGTTCTCTCAAACTGATGTATCGAAAGAAACAATTCAACAAAATTCGCTTCACTGAGGATTCACCATCATTCACCATCCTTTTATAGGTTATATTTACATCTTAATCATAAAACCATAATAAACTTTGCAGTGATACCACAACAAAATAGTATGTGTATTTGGTTGCCTAATATATATAGTTGTGTTTTGATGAAGAAGAAGAAGAAGAAAAAGCAGATGGTGACCCGACCAAAACGTGCACTAACAAAATTGCGCAGAACAAAAGCGCTTTTGTTATTGTGTTGAAGTAGATACAGGTAGATTATATTACCTCTACTTACATCAATTTATAGTTACAATCAATTTACATGAAACAGAGTTTTATTTGAAACGTTTAAAGGTATAATTGAAAACATACACACTATTATCAATTAAAGCAATTTATAATAAATATTTCTTTCTTATTGATCAATTGATATTATAAACTATGATAGGAATGATCTATGAGGTGAAATTACTTAATTTAAAATATCAAGACATTTTTGTATCAATTATATATTGTTAAATAAAATAAAAGTATTGAAAATATTAAATAATTAACAATATTTTAATATTTACGTATATTCAATGAAGAAGAATTTAGAGGAGAAGTTAAACTATTCCATACAAAGGAGGAATGTTCAGATTCTCTTTTAATTTTACTTCTCGATAGTTGTAAACTGCAGAAATAATAAATTTAAAATATTCACCATTAAATATTATTAGATTAATTATTATGAAAGGTATATCAAATAAACGCAATATTAAATGATGCAAGTCTAAATAGAAATATATTTATTTTAGGAATTTAGTGTTCATTATTAATATAATAGTAAAATTACAGAATATAATGTTGAACATTTTTACATGGTAAAAGGTTCGATCAACAAATCAAAGCAAAATCTAAAAAGAAATATATTTATTTTAAGATTATTTGAGGACATCGAACATCTCACAATACAATACAATGAGAGACGATCAACAAAACGTTTAAAAATTAACCAATATGTACACATGCTTGATATTGTTATGCCTGATAAATATTTCTGATATGAAATCAATTGTTTTAAGTTATTATATTTACAGAGTATATATTTAATTATACTGTTATCCTTTTGATTATCGTCTGTTTTATTGCGTTAGTCCTTCAGAAGTCCGACGTTGATGGCAAACTGCTTGCATTTAGCAGCAACTTCATCGTGGACGAGGCTGAAGCACATTGCAACGATGACGAGTCCAAGAAACAAGTACAGACAGCACGCAAAGAGTTGCATCTGCGAGCTCAGATCTGGACTCTGAGGAATCCTATCGCCTAAACCTATTGTCGTAAGTGCAATAAAACAGAAGTATGCGGAATCCAGGAAGCTCCAGCCGCTGGTTGTTGCGAAAGCTGCAGCGCCTAGGCATATGTATCCTACGAATATGAATATGACTAGGGATGATGGCACAGTAGGCACTGATGATGTCATGTGTGAGATTTGATTGGATACTGATTCAGGTCTATAGATCAGAGGGACTCTAGATGGAGTATCATGTATGCATGTCCTGCAATCAACATAATTTTAATAGTACATTTTATAGATATTTCGTGTGAAATTGAATACCCATGGTCATTTTCATCTCCTTCCTCGTTTTCATCGATATCTGAACTTGCTATTAGACCCATAGTGTTTCTCGTAGGAGTACCATGTGCATGCGCCGGGCACATCTGGGGATCGGCCAACATTTGTCTCACCTGCAATTGCCTGCATCTCCCACGGGTATGACTTGCTCGAACAGTTGCCAGCAACGTCTTCTTTTGGGGTTCTTCATGATGTTCGACAACATGCATTGGCTTATAACAATTATTTTGATTCGGGTTTGTAATCTGAATAACACATTCTAGAAACAAATATAGAATTAATATTTAGTAATAGTTATGTGTATTTCTTGATTTAAACTAGAGAAAGATGTTTAGAAAAAGTATCTTATTTTATCTATATTCAATGATATTTTTGACATTGTTTATAAAATAATTATAATTTAAACTACTAAAAGTTATTATATTATATTGTTCAAGGTCGAACGAGTAAGACATATTAAATGAATAATCAATACTATTTCTTAGTTTCATAAGCAGAGCCATCTAATCCATTAGTCACAGAGCCTAGGGTCTAATATGTTTTTGTGGACCTACGAAAGTTTTGGGAGCCCAAAAATAGGTTAAATCGGAATTCATATTTTTGATAAGTATCGATAAAGGTAGCAGAAAAAGAGTTATTAACATTAAGAAAACATTTATCTTGATATGAATCGTAATGTTTGTTATTAATTTACCTTCATGGGTTCTACAAGAAGCATGTTTCGTTTGATTGTTCGTTGGTGGTCGGTGGTAACCAACAATCGAATTATTTGGCACTTTATGCTTGCAGCAAAGCTTCGAATATCCTTTACGCGCGCCTCCGGCTAAGAGAGAACCAAGGGCGGAGAGGAGAACTAGCATAAGAGGTACACCTATTAGGGCGTAAACGATGGCAACCACTTTTCCGATTGCAGTCCTCGGAGATAATTTCCCATAGCCTAAGCAATAATATTCCGTTAGTTCGAACATAATTATATACGGCAGAAAGAGCAGCCGAAGGGCTCAAACTCCAAAACTTACCGATGGTTGTTAGGAGTGTTAAGGAATAAAGCAGAGCACCTCCGAACGTCCAATGAGGAGAATGGGCCGAACTTGGAGTGCCGTCTGTTCTGCCGGATTCAACGACCGCCCTTTCAAACCTCTTCAACTGCTCAGTCACCAGCTGAGTCCAATTCTTCTCGTACAAAACGTTTAGCCTCTCTGCGAAAATAAAAAAGAACATCCATCATTAGAACTTCGCACTTTTTATTTGCTAAACATAAACTTCTAGACTTCCCGATTCGGCCGGAAATATTAAGGCGTTTGATCGATGAGGGGAAAAAGACACGGCTCCCTCTTTTTTTTTATTCCGATAAAATTGCATTTTCTCGCGAAGTAATCGCGATCTGTTATTTCTTGCTTCAAGTCACGTAGAACTTTCCTTTTTCGTATGACATGCCAGGGATTTACCTTTTTTTCTTTTTCCACGGCTCCGACTGCCTTTTCCGTGCGTGCAAGATCCTAACATCCGATGGAAGGGCTTATAAAACATTTAGCACTAATGCCGCGTGGTATAAAATACAGACCCGAAAATAAGTCTGAACTTATCCAAGCGGGAATTAATATTTTTACGCACCGTAAAATTTCATATATTTTTATGACCTGTATACTTCAGATTTTTTAGCAAGGATATTATGGTAGGAAGATTTGCTTCAATTATCTGCTCGTTCGCTTATACATATTTTAAGACAACCTCTTATAAATATGTATATAGCATCAAAGAAACAAATATGATTAGGGTGTTTCTCTTTTGAAGAAGGTAAAACGAAAGTTTCCAATTTTAATTCGAGCAAATATTTATTTCCGGTTTATATGGAAATACTTCATCCCTGACGGCATCTCGAATGTATCACATTTTCATACACATTGCTTTTTTTTAAGTGAAACTTCAAAGAGCACGGAAATGGTAAACATTCGTACACAAATGAGTTTATTCCACTCTAGTAATATTCAAGAAAAGAAATAAACATTACGTGTAAATAAATTCAATGTTTTTTTTTATTATAAATGTAACTAACATATTACATATAGTTAATATTAATTTAAAAAATTTACTACGAATACATACATAATCCTAAGCTATGAAATTTCATGAAATATCATTTGGTCATTAATTCTTAGAATATTTATTTTATTTGACAGGTTCTTCAACCTGTGTTCCACAGAACCTTTGGGTTCCGGGAAATTTCTGAAGAAAGGTTCAAAAAGCAATAAAATATTGAATAAACCTGTTTTAGTTTATTATTTACAGAGATATTTACAGAGATTGCAGACGCTATAATATAATTTACAAAATAGTTGTAATAGTATAGCAAACTATTTCATACTTTAACTATTTCTAATAGGTACTTTCTTTAAATAACTGTTCTATTTATAAATTAGCAAATTTACTAGAAAACAAACTGATATTTCATTAATTTGTACAGAAAAAAATGTATACAAATATAAGATTTATTGGATATTACAGATTATACGAAAGGTACATTTGTACAACTTTATTGTACTTCATTTTAATGGATTCGAATAGGTTGAATAAAATATTAACACTATAAAAAATTAAAAATGTCTTCTTCGTGTTCAATGGTCATGTGACAAGAAAACATTTACGTATCCAAATGCTGCTATTCTTTGTACAAACATAAATGGATATTAAAGATGAAAGATCAAGTTAAACGTATTCGAAGAGTAAAGTAGCAATATTGGATTCACATAGAATATACAATAAGCACGAACTGTAGAGGAAAATACGAGAATTGGAATCATATGATGCAAAATAAAAGTATAGCAATGCGAAAGATACGGTTCAGAAATATGATACATCATTAAATGGATCTGCGAAAATATCAGATTTATGTGGATATTATAAAGAAAACCATGTACCAAGATTAAGTTATATGATAATCAAAATAAAATCATATTTTAACAATAGTAAAGACTAAAAAGGTACAACATCCTTGATCTCCCTTATAGATTTTAAAATTAGAAGAATGTTTTTAGTTATTTGTTTTTATTGTTGAAATTAATATTTATTTATATTATATTAGATATTTACAAGGTTTTAAATGGAAAACTATTTCGCTCAGTGGTATATTCTGTTGCAGGTCCAAAAATATTTACTCGTTGCCAGAGTTTGGCAGATTGTGAATAATATATTTATTAAAAAAAAATATTTAAAAAAAATCAAATTTAATTAGTGACATTAGTTTGTCAAATATTTACTGTTGTAATGTTCGCTCACGAAAAATTTAAATTTAATATATTTATTCATTAGAGTTTATACGAAAATTGATTTAAACCCGGTTTAACCGGTTTTCTAATTATCACTTAAAAATTCTAACAATATAAAATTTACATCATAGAAAAACGAATATCAATAAATAAGTATAAAATATTATTTTATTTCTTATTTTTATCTCAGAAAATATGATTCTAAAAAGGAAAGAATGTCTTCAGACTATTGCTCAAAAAACGGTTTTATAGTTGGAGAAACCCAGTTTTCGAATTTTAAAAGATTCTTAAAAAAAACGGGTTTTAAAAACCAACAAACCCTATTATTCATAGTAAATAGTGGCGTTTCCCTAAAATAAATAAGATATCTAGAAATTATAGAAATTTAAAAAAAATAGTCAATCAAAAGAACATTAGCCTTCCGCTATGAATTACATATTTTACAAATGATTTTTTAAAATTATGTAAATCTAGTGAAGAAAACAATTAAAAATTGAAAACATATAGACTGTATGACAGATAAATATATTTGTCAGGTGTAAGTTGTAATAGTTAGTATCTTACGAATACAAATATTTATTTTATAAACATAAATTATAAAATAATTTCAACATTTGATAACATATTTGATATTTTCCTTCTTTTTAGAAGTATTTATAATATTTGTGTAGTACTATTATTGATCAGAATATACATCAGAATAAAAATATGTTTTCATTTTGAAATTTCCAAAGTATCATTTCACAATGTCTCTACATCTTTTCATTTCATACAAATATGCACATTTAACGAGTTTTAAATCCCTCGTCGGAAGTAATGCTGTATATATTTTGCAAAAGAAACCGCAAAACCGATTTCCCTCCTGCATATTATTTCGCGGTTGTCAATCACAAAAAGCTTGGATGTGGGGTCCATTAATATTCAACGAGCAAAGCTTCGATTTGTGCAGAATCTTTCTCTCTCTTTCTCGCACATACGTTTATACGAACACGTACACCAACAGTCTTCTTTTTCTCTTATTCGGATGAATGGGTAAATAAAAATATGCACGTCGGTCTTGGCTCACACAGGAATTTATTAAATTATCCTCAATTCCCCGATTCCACCAAAGCTATTTCGCGTCGTTTTCTCCACACCTCGTCTTCTACTCTTTTTTTTCACATTCTTTTCTTTTTTGGAATACCAAAATCAATGCAACTCAGATCAATAATCTGCATATTAATGAATTAAAATTATTTATAATCAATAATGTAATTGTACTTGGATTACAATTACTACAGTATATATTCTAATCAAAACTTTGTAAGCTGTAAAGCTCAAGTAAATGCATTACTACTCCCATTAAAAGTTGTGTCGATAATAACATACATCTTTATAATATAATACGTGTATACAAGTTCCTGAGGTTTTGCATTTAATGAGCATTTGGAAATAGCAAAAACATAATTTAAACTACACTTAACTTTTTCGTTAATTGAATTCCCCGTGCACAACAAATTGATTGAATTATAATATATAATACTTCTTTTCTTTAGTTAAAATAAGGACATAACGTAGTAATACCTTGTTGAGTCGTTAGGATGCGTTCTTAACCCACGAACCAGCATTTAACAAAGTTACATTAACATATTGTAAATCGATACATTTACAGGTTTTTTAGGCATCGAGTAGAACGGATTATATCGAATTAGCGTTAATAGAGAAGCGCTAAGAGAGGTTCTGCAACTAAAATTAGAAAAATAATTATTTTATTAAAACTCGACATAGAAAACAAAATTAAGATCATACGTTCACTGAAATTAAATTCAAATATATATTTGTTGATAGCAAAATGTACGTTTTAGATCAGTTATTCTCAAAGTGGTCTATATTGACCCCAGGAGTCTATGAGAACCTGCATGGGGTCTACGTCAGCGAAAAAAAAAATTGGGGGTCCATGAAATGAAAATGGGGGTCCACGATACTGGATCTCAACATACACTCATAGTACCTATTTACTTACATTATACTATCTTAGAATATAAAGACATATACATTATTTATAAAAGTACCTATGAAGTAAAAACATTATTATATATGTTTATAAAATTGTGAAAGTTGTAGGATATGGGCATTCGCTTTGGGGTCGCAAAACATTTTGAACTTGTAAAAACCTGGAATATAGCGAATTATGGAATTTAGCGAGGAAATTTTTAATTTCCTTTCCATCGTAATACCTAGTGGTAATGGGGTTCAGCGCTGTTACCAATCTCCTAACAAAAAAACGCAACAGACTGCACATCATTAGCCGAGGAGATTTAAGATTAAACCTTACAGAATTGACGCCAAATGTTGATAATTTATTATTTTGTTAGTTTATTTTATGTTACGTATATTTTATATAAAAGATAATTTTTTTTATTTTGAGTAGTTTTAATTTAAATTCAATTAACAAATGTATAAAACTTAACATGTGTTTTTACTTTAAGTTTTTAACACTAAACTTCACTACAGTTAGAAATATATCTGTTCTGTTTCTGTTAAAATTAAAGTTAAAAATTTACAAAAATACAATATCAGGTAAGTAGGGCGAAAACATGGCAAGGGCTCTACGACACAAAAAAGTTTGGGAACCTCTGTTTTAGATCATCGAGTACGTTCTCGCCTAAACAAAGAGAATAAAAGTTTGTGAATGTATTTTGTAATTTTTAACGTTAACTCGTTTAAAAAAAAATAATATCATGGTCTCACTAAAATTAAATTGAAATATTCACGCTCATTCACGTTTATTGAATATCGAGTAAGTTCAGAATAACAAAGAGATATGTATGTACAAACACTGTAAATGCATATATGTTAATTATATATACTTTTTATAAATAGATTAGCTTACATCTTCTTAACGTACTACATATCGTGTACGTTGACTGGGCTGAATGAATAAGTGAAATTGTTAAAACTCTATTGATACAATTTTACCATCATATTACATTAAATTCAACTATAGTACGA